ACATGCCCATTCGCGTGCGCTATCAATCTACTCGAATGAACCACACTCACAAAGCACCACCAGCACCGCGAACGCCTTTTGGTCCTCCGCTCCAAGCCCTGTCGAAGCTTCTTTCTCATCTAGCAGCTCCGCCTTCTTGTGATCTGCCAAAGCGCCGGCCTTTGCAGGGCCATTGGCAGAGGGGTTTCCGGCTACTTCGGCACCAGCTGCCTTGCTGCTCGAAGAGCGCCTCCGGTTCGATGATGCCTGCTTGCGAGCCATATCAGCGTTTCGAAGGGCCGACGGGTATGGGTGCTGAAGGGGCCGTGAGGGACTTGAAATGGGAATTTGTCAAGTCTCCGCAAGCTTTGGGGTGTAGAGTATGGTGCTGCGGCACGACGATTTGCTCGAGCTTGGTAGTTGCGAGTCGATAGATCAACGTCTGCAAGCACCAGTGCTGCGATCGTTCCCTTTTTTGCTCCTGGCTCTAATCCGGAAGTGGTATGCTCAACCTGACCACACCACGCCGCGAGTCTAGATCCACCCCAAATTTGGCAAGTAGAAGCACAGCACCTTGCTGAAAGGTCGGCCAAGACGAGAAATGCGAGTCACGAGTGCAGACTTTTGGTTGGGGTGGATATGATCGAGCGATATGATGGCAGCAAATACATGCGCCGACGACCAAGTCTTTAAATGCGCTCCCGCGCTGGACGCGGTCTTGGTTGTCTTCTGGTCCCAAAGCTTCCTGCGCGCATCAACGGCCAGCAGGATGAAGATCTCGCAGTGGCGTTCGATTAATGCGCGGGGCGTCACGCCCATCATGCACGATCAAGATTTAAACCTACGCCGTATCCGCGTATCGTGCGGTATAAGAAGCTCGCACTCCACAGATGCGCCGGTACCCGAATACATTATACCCATTTGCGATGCATATCATCTCAAATAGCATGCAGCATTATGCGCACTCAGACTCGAGTCATGGGTGAAGCTCGTCCTCACACTTCAAAGATTGGACCGACGGTACTCGAAAAGCCTGGGCCAAGCGCGCAATTTGTAGAGGAGAGTCAAACACATTGGACTGCTGACAACGGCACGGCCATGCGCTTCTCGATAATTTCATTCCGAATGACTGTCCAGCATCTGGTCCAGCCTGCTCAAAAAGCCGTCCAACCTAGCTTCCAGCCCATCCACCGCACCATCAGCCGCCTCTATCCTCTTCAACAGGTCCTGCATATCTTCGATGCTCTGCGCCTCTTCGTTTTGCGCGTTTTGAGAAGAGCGAGCAGCTCCCGCTGCTCCTTGCGATAGCAGAGGTTGCAAAATGTCTCGATCTTCGACCGAGAGTGTGGATAAAAGGGCTTGCAGGTCAGTGCTGTCGCCCACAGCATCGCTAGCAGCAACAACGCCTTCATTTTGCGTGGATGTGCCATTGTTCGCAATGTGTGGCGCAGAGGCGTTCGGCTGCTGCCCGCGTTGTGCATGGGGTAACGCGCCAGCTACGTTTCCCTGATGTTTATCCAGCGGCGCGCCACCTAGCGCCTCTGCCAGCAGAGAAGGCAGAGCAGCGCTGGATTGAGGGCTAGTATGATCTGTCAGGGCGTCACTTGAAGGCTGGATTGGCACACGTGTGTCCCTCGAAAGTGTCGGCTCTGCCAATTCCACGATCGGAGATGGGATGCCGTTGACTGCGGCGCGCTGCTGATGCGCATCGCTAGCTTGGGAAGGCGTCCACAAGCCTGTCCTTGTGCGTTGGGAAGATGCGCTAGCCATAAAGGTCTGCGTCGTGTCAGAGTGTGCGAGTGGCTCTCCCTTGTCCGCGGCTTGTGGCGGCGCATCTGTTCCACCCGTAGACGCAGTCTTGGCGATTGATGCAGCTCCGGCGTTCTGGTCGGCCGGTCCCACTTGGTGTATCCAAGCTCCGATCGCGCCGAGGTAACCTTCGTGCCTTAAAAAGTAGGCTCTTTTGGTGCCCTTGGACCAGAAGCGGATAGCGTAGCTCAGCGTCGATATGGTCGCCTTGTGCCCTCTCAGAAAACCTCCGCCAAAGTATATCCTGTCTAGATTGAACTTTTCGGCATTCATGTAACTGTGGCAAGCCATCTTCGGTTACCATTTGTCATGGATGCAGTTGCTATACACTCAAGACGACTCACGCAATCTGTCCGATATTGTTGCTGACAGCATACAGCAAGCTTTTACAGATATCCTCTTGTCTAAACTTCTTCTTCTTGCGCCTCTGTCTGGGGGCCTGATCCGTCTGAGCCTCTTCGTGACCATGTGCAGAGGGACCACCCGAGCCCCCCGAATCGTTACCTGGCTCCTTCCTAAACACCTTGCCAAAGGAGCTAGCGATAGTGCTGGACTTGAGACCTAGCGAAGAGAGTGCATCTGAAGAGCCGTAGATATCTCCAACCATCATATCGACCGTGCTGTTGTCGCCTCGTGTCGAAAGCTCGAGCATCTCTGCACTCCGCAGAAGCGACAAGCGGGAAGGATATGCATCGGTCAATGCTTTCATCGGTACAGTTCGATCATTCCAATGGTAGTTATTCTTCAAAGGTACGCGACGCCAAATTGACCTTCAAATTCGCCTTGCGTGCGCACTCACCATCAAAATTCTCGGCATCCGTCAAAAGGCTGAGCAGTCCCCAAAGCGTTCCGCCTCCCAAAGACGTTCCGCTCACTCTCTCATACTTGCCGTAATCGTCTACCTTGATGATGCTGACTCCGCTGCCAATATTGACCAAAAGGCAAGGCAACTTTGGTGAAGGATCCGAATCGTAGACGGGGGCGTACAGAGGAGGGTCTGGCGAGGGACGTGGAAGTGCTTGTTGTGGTGTTCGGGTCTCGTTGGTCGGCGGCGAGGGCGAAGAGGACGCGGAAGAGATGGAGGAGAAGGAAGCAGACATTGCTGTGTCTGCCTGTTCTTCATCGTTCGACGCTGTCCCTACTAGCGCGCTGCCTCTGTACCTGCTAGAAAAGCGAGGCAAGGGGCTGTGGAGAACGCTAACCAACTCGTCCGAGTAGCTGAAGACCTCATCGGGAATGAGCGTGGCAAAGTTGAGTCCCGTGATGAGTGCTCTCATCTCATCTTCTCTGCGTACCTCCACGCCGAGTTCCTTCTCCAGCCTCTCGTGGAATCGGTGAGCGCCGCCGCCGGTCGCAGAAAGCTTGACCGACTTGCGCATGGAAGATAAGGAGACGCCATTGGCTGTTGCGCTCGAAGAGATGAGTGTAGAGAGAAACATGAACAATGAGTCGACGTCGGACGTCTCAAATTTGATGAAATTCAGTCTCCCGCCCGGTAAGGAGGAGGGTAATGAGCGTCGACGGAATAGGCTGGACCGAATGCTCCCACCACCACGTCCTCTAGCAAGACTTGGACCCCTACCCTCGCGCTGATCTTCGCGACTGGCATCAGTGGCAGAACTGTTTGCTCCGCTGCTATGATCCTCTTGACCATCATATGACTTCTTGTCCGGACGCAACTCGGACGCGCTAGGGACACGAGATATGGAAGTTGGCGTAAGAGTGCCAGACGGGACCGCTTGTGTCCCATCAGCGGTGTAGGCGACCTGTTGCGAGTACACCTTTCCGGATGCGTGCTCCACGGAGTGCAGGCCTGGCAAATTGTTCTTTGAGAAGAGCCCGGACGCAGAGGTAGAGATCGAAGGCGAGCACCTCGGAATGGCGTCATCGATACTAGATGAAGGACTGGTGGACGCTTGACCTGACGTGGAGACCGGTGGACGAGAATGGGTAAAGTAGACCACCTTGGCCAGGGAGCCACCGATCTGTTCATACGTCAGGCATACTCGAGTAAGCGTATATGCATCGCCTCTCGACTTGAAGCAAATCATCGAGCAAGCCAGGACCACCACAAGCATAGCCCAAGCGCCTTCACAACTGGCTAGCTGCGCGACTCACATCCAGAGCAATGTGGCTGACGCTTTCAGTATGATTTGGCAGATAAATCTCGATGCCATCCTTCTCACGACTTCCCACTGAGCTTTCTCCGCGCTGTTCATCTCCAACATCTTCATCCACACCAGTCGCCCCTCTAGGGAGCTCAGTCCGCACTCCTAGATTCGGCCTGTCCGCGTGCGTCGCTCGGTGCGACTGCCCCGAGGAGGAACCTTCTCGGTGGTCGGCATCGTAAGAAGGTGTAGCCATGATCATCGCTCCTGTAGTATCGACGTTGACAGGCAGGGCTAAGGGTCGTCGTACGCTGGCTTGTGAACCTTTGCTGCTCGACCTAACCTGATCGGTGTGAGACACAGATCGGCCGGGTCTCGAGGCTGGTGTGAGTGCGGCGCTGGCGCTCCGCGTAGGAGTCGAGGACCCCGAGTCAGCCGGCATGATCGGCTTCGCTGCGACAGACGAGGTGGCAGCGAAGCTGCAGTGCGCTGTACGAGTTGTCTGACCGACTGCTCAGGCCGATGAAAGGAGAGATCGAAGACCTGAGTGCGTGCAGCCGTGCGGTTCTCTCAGTGTTTGCGTGGGCCTCGCGGCTGCATGCTGCATTCGTGCCAACTTCGAGCGGGCCAGGGAATGAGGTGAGGTGTAAATGTAGGCAGGTGTGGCCTTGAGAGGCTGCCTGACAAGCTCTGCGTAAAGCATCCGCCCATCCTTGTGAAACAAAAAGTCCCCGCAGCTAGTGTGCATGGATCGAGTCTACAGTACGCGGGGGAATCGTCTGCGCGTGCCCCACGCTCGGTCCGCTACGCAGCGTGCTCCACCGCTGGGCGCGTCTCTCGTACGAGGGAACTGCGTTCCTCTCCACCTTGCGGCCGTACCATGAGATAAAGAGTCGTGAGTCGTGAGTTGTGAGTCGTGAGTCGTGAGTCGTGAGTCGTGAGTCGTGAGTCGTGAGTCGTGAGTCGTGAGTCACCACACCTCGCCATCAATTTGAATACGCATCCGTCGCTCTGGCTTGTTGACACTGTGACTCACGATTGTCTCTCAAAGCGCCACAACGCGCGCCAGTCAGCTCACCACTCAGACTCGTGACTTGTCTTCGCAGCGCATGTCTGACTCAACATCGCCGCGATCAATTGAATCAGCACATGCTTGACAGGTTGTCAGGACTTTGTGCCTCCGCGTCGTCCATACTCTAGACAATGACGTCGCCTGCGAGCCCTGCCCCGGTCCTGCTGTTCGGCATAGGTGGCGCAACTTCCTCGGGCAAGTCGACACTAGCTGCGCATCTGAGCTCTCTGCTCAACCATGCATACGAACAGCAAATCCTCGTCGATGGGACGCTTGGACGTGATGGTGGCGAAGCTCGAGTGCAGGTAGTGGGGCAGGACGACTTTGCTCTTCCCGAAGAGCAACTGAGGTACGATGAGAGAATCGACGGCAAGGACTGGGACGATCCCGATCAGTGTGTGAGTTGGCGCAGAGCGGGCGAGATTGCGGCTACACAGCGCGCAGAAATCGAGGCGCTGACGCAAGCTCGAATCACGCAAACATACATGTGTGCTCCACCAACTCGCTCCCTGCCACCGTTCCGAACGTGTCTCAGATCGACTATGCCCGATTTGCAACGGCTCTGGAACAAATTAAATCGGGCGGCACACCTCCCGTCTCACCCAAAGAGGTGTCAACATTGCCTGAAGTGACAACCTCGATGTCCTCCTCTTCTTCTCAAACCGTACAGCGCATTCTAGAGCTCTTGCAGCGCTTGAGCAATCCAAAGATCTTTTTGGTGGATGGATTCTTGTTGTACTACGATTCGCGCGTGACTAGCACGCTGGATGTGAGACTGTTCTTGAGGGCTTCGGAAGAGGATGTGAGGAGTAGACGAGAGGGGAGGGTGTATCACACAGCAGGTGAGCGCTTGTTGAGTGACATTTGCATCTCAAACGCCAGCACTGATCATGCGCTTTGTCCTCACCACGCTCACTCGAGTAGAAGGCACAACGTGGAGCGTGAGTGGCTGTCCTTGTCAGCCATTCTTATCATTTCGCCCTGCGCTCATCCTGCCCTCGTTGTCTTTGTCTCTTAGGACCCGCCAAACTACTTTGACCTGATTCTTTGGCCATCTTACGTCAAAGCGCACCAGAATCTGTTCGAGCAGAGAGACGTCGAGCGAGGGGCGCTGGTCAAAGCTTCGCCTGATGCCTCAGAGAATCAGTCAGGCGGTCCAGTGAGCGGCTTACGACTGCTCGAGACAAGACACCAAAGCTTGGAAGATGTGGTGCAGAATGCGTGCCAGCTCATCCTAGAGGAGCTGCAAGAGATTGCCGCCAAGCAGTCTTGTTCGAGGTAGCGAGCCCACCTGCGTTTCCCGACCAGTGCGACGCCCGATGCCCGGCTTCAGTGGAAGGCGGACAAGATACACTGCAATAGACAGCATCGTTGGACACCGGTAGATACGTACAGATCGGAAGAGCATCGTGCAAGCCAGAGAAAGCGCAAAGCATGGTCAAGAAGCTGACATTGTATCATTGCGGTTCTTTGGCGGTTGCGGCGAGAGTGCGGCGGGGGGCAGAAAGGCTGAAGCGGTGGTATAACAGTGCGAATTGGGACCTGCAATAGATAAACAGAAACGCGACTCAAAAGATGTGTACAAACAATCAGGCCTTGAAGTCGGCCGCACGACGGTACGACAGTCGGACTGGCTTGCTGGGTCCTCTCCAATTATTGTCCGTGTCCGCCGAGGGGCAAGTCTCTGCGGAGTAAGGCCTGCCCTGCAGGTCCACCGTCTCGTAGTCGAAGCACATCAAAAAGGTCGCTACGACAATGATGATTTCTAGCTGGGCAAATCTGCGACCCCCGCACACGTGGTGACTGGGAAAATCGAGAAGAGAGCGGGACGCAAGAGTCAGAGGCATAGCCCTCGCACAGACGCGCACACAAATCACGTCAAGCTCACCTAGCACCCCAGCCGATGAACTCGAGCGGACCATTCCCTTCCTTCCTGATGGCAAATCGATCCGGATCAAAGCGTTGAGGATCGCGGTAAATTCTAGAATTCTGATGAGTCCCAGCAATCCAATAAGCCAAAAAGTCTCCCGAATTGACGTCGTGGCCGCCAATCTGCACTTTGGAGTTGGCAAACTTGTCCGACTCGTTTTGTCCGGCAAAGTAGCGGAAAAAGGTTCCTCTTAGGACGTGCCTCATGGTCTCCTTCAGACAAGCGTGCAGAAGAGGGAATGCGCCGCTTCCATTCTTGCGATCTGCTACGCTGCTGGCTGTGCCTTCCCATTGTTCCAGCGGCACACGACGAAGTGCCTCCAATGTGGGCAATGACTCGTAGTCGTCCCCGCGCTCCTCTGCGCCTTTTCTCAAAGTCTCTACAATCTCTTGCTTGACTCTTTGGCGCAGCTCGGGTTGAGCTCCAACAAAGATCAGCAGCCATGCCGACATGCTCGATGAGTTTACCACGCTGCGATCGGAGAGTGCAGGGCGGAAATCTCGTGAGCTCTGGCGAGGACATAGCAGGCTCCAGCGGTTATTCCATCAACTTACGCTGCGAACAGGCTGCCCACACACCACCTGACAATGTCGATCGTTGAGGTCTCATCATCAATCATACGCTGAACCTGATCGTCTTCAGATCTCTTGTCCTCGATTCTCTTGGTGATGGCTTCATGAATCATCGTGAAGAGCTTCTTGGAGTTTTCTTTGCGCTTGTGGTTGGAACGCAGGGGCAAATTGGGCCAGAGCGTCGACCAGTAATTGGTTTCCCTCTCAATAGACCAGTAGGCATCGTACATCTCCCTAGCTGCCGCTGCATTGCTTGCGTGCTCTGCGAGCCCGACAGTGCGCACGCTCAGTTGGAAAATCAAGGGATAGACATCCATGTGCGGGTCCAGCTTGCCGTTGCCCGTATTGTTGGCGAAAAAGTGCTCGTAGTCTTTCAAGCAGTCCTCGACCATGTCGGGCGTCAGATCAGCTAGCCTCTCGCCTCTGATGGCCTGCTTGAGATTCTTGTCAAAAAAGACCATGTACTTGTCATCTTGAGCTCTGTTTCTAGCTGCAACTTCCGGCTCGGTGTCGGGGTCCTTGGGAGTGCCGCCAAAGAGGACAGAGTAACCTTTTGTGAAGCTCAGAGCTCGAGTGTTGAAGAAAGTCGATGCGTCCTGGTGGTCTCCACTGACGATGATGTTGTGTTGACCGACGTTGAATCTCACTGCCGAAGGGTGATAGGCTTGCGCATCGAGAGCCTCTTCGGGCCTACCGAGCACCCTGTACAGAAAAGACTCTCGCGTTTTGTAAAAGGCCACTTGCCCTAGACGCGGAATGGAGGCTGCCAAGGTTCGGATGCTTGAACCTTTTATGCGAGCGTTCTTCACCGGTGCGAAGAGCTGCCAGGCCAGGTAAGAGGTGGCAACGATGAGCAAGGAGAGGAGGATGGGAGTGGCTTGCGATGATGAGACCAAGACGCTGTCCGAGCTTGTGAACGCGGTAGGTTTTCCACTCTTGAGCAGCGCGCTCGCTCGGGCGAAAGGTGATGACGCCGGTGTGGACACCATTGTTGTGCGCAGGAGACGGGCTGAGAACGAAGAGGGAAGAGCGCGGCAAGGCTAGGGTGCGAAGAGTTCGATTTAGCGATGGTGCGGTGTGCCTTGTCGTAGACGAGAATGTGGCACCATGGACGAATCTTGGAGGCATGCCTTCGATAATTTATAGACATGAAGTCTGGCCTTGCCTCTCCATCACTGCTATCGCAATCACCTCTTGTACAGCATACAGCACGACAATGTCTTGACTAATCAACGGAAGCAATCATCCGCGCCAGTGCACGATCGAGCCACATTTTGATAATCATTGTGACTGGACGCTGTACAGTCATGCTATGCTATCTGCGCTGTCATTCTGTACCATGAGCAATACTCAGCGGGGCAGTGTTGAAGTGACCAATGAGCCCGGGGAGTGGGTCGGTGGGCATGAATGCGGTGTCGATGAAAGTAAGACCGAGGGGCCGATCCAGCCATGCAAAAGGAGAGGCCCCGACGCTAAGCGAGGACGTAGCGTCGACCTGGTGGAGCCGCTTCGAGATGGATGGACGCGCTAAGCATCAGCTGCGGGCCAACTTTTGCCCCAGTCACACTTCGAACAAAAGGTACCGCGCCGTGCTACAGCAACACTCACGACTGTATGGTACCTACCGTGCCATCCACATTAGCGGCACGCGGCTCGTGCTGCTGCTGCCGCGAGCGCTGCCGAGGCACAGCTAGCACATTCGACTTTCGAAAACGCGCAGAGGCCCGTTTGAGATGTTTGGAGCACGTGTCGAAAGCATTTCATATCATGTGGAGAGCGAGTCAAGTTGAGAGGTCTGCTCTACATTCGTGATTCGCGATCCGAGGTGTATGCGTACGATGATAGCAGAGACGCATAGCAGGCGGTCGCGACCCAGCCGGTCTCGCAGCGTGCGCGCGTTTGCTTCCGCCATCCCGCAGTCCCCATAAGAGGGAGGGGAGTCCACGGCAAACAGTCGTGCAAGGTCCCATTTTCCGCGGAGCTCCGTTCCACACGCCCTCTCATCTGCAATACATCTTCTTGGCCTCTTGGAAGAGAGCAGCGCTAGCCCCGGAAGCCCTTTTCCTTCTCGCTCCAACTCTTCGTTCGGACAGGTATGCGGGGTTGAGGAGCCTTTTGTATGGTCAAGCGCGCCGCGCTTCGCAATTCACGATCCAGAGAGCCTTTGTTCGCCGCGCGAATCGAAGAGGCTGCCTGTTGTCGGTGATTCTTCGCATTCGCAGCGAAGCCGTCTCGGCATCTATATGCATGCATAGGAAAAGTCTGAGTGTAGTCGTGAGTGGAAGTGAGTACGCGACCAGCAGTTGTGTTGATCTGCTCGCACCTGCGATGGCAAGCGGCCAGAGACCGACACGTCACGCTTCACGTTTCTGATTCAAGTTGCGACCGGCCCATCTGGATCCGAGGATTACGAAGTTACATTTTGTGACGTAAAGACCGCCGAGCGCACACAAGTTCGCAGACGTAAGGTTCCGGCCTTGGCAGCTGAGCGCCTCGGGCTGTTGACATTTCCTGGTCGTTGGGCGTGCAGCGAATTGATGACAATCGTGTCATTCGTGAAATGAGTACGAAACGCAGCCAAGCTTGGCCGGTTGCCGTACTCGTGTCTCTTGATGTGTCAAGAACGGACGTCGAGTTCCGACCGGTCGCTAGTCACATTTCAAGCATAAAGCATGATAGATGCCTCCATCCGGTCGCATGGTTCATGCAGCGCTAACGCAATGCCCTGCATGCGGATCGCCAAGCATGATGCATCGCGCCGAGAGATCACGAGGTCTTGCTTGATCGTTCGAATCAAGGAGGCGGCTTCCTTCCACTCGATGCAAAGATTGCGCTGCATGAGCCAATGGACCGAAGAGAGCAAGGTCGGCCCTTCGCCCATCCTCATGCAGCAGCAGCAAATGGCGGTCTGCGTGCACACATTCTCGATTTCAAGAACGGAAGCATCAAGTCATGTCCACGCGATCTCCACCATTCAAGACTGTCAAGCTCATCCAGACAAGTCAAGAGTATCATATTTCATGCCCTAGAAGCATTAGAGGATGTAGTTCAGCGCTGAGCTGGGCAATCAGACGCTGGCCCGCTATCAAAGCACCTGAGCTACCAATGGAAGAAGCGTGCGCGGGGCGAGATCTTGAGCCCACTCTCAAAGAGGCGTTCGGGCGAGTGCAAGGGTGAGTGCGCGGGCGTGCGAAAAAGATGGCGCAGATCGTCCCAGTCATGCTCTCGTGGAGGAGAGTGAGTGTCCACGTGATACGGAGCACCTGTGTGAAAAATGGGCGGGGCGCCCACATGCGCGCTCGATGGAGTGAGCACAGCGTGGTGCTCGGGCAAGTGCTGAGATTGGTGCAGACTTTGCCAGTCTTGATACAACGAAGGGGATTGCGGATGTACATAGTCGAGCACGCTCGGATCCCGCTCGGTCGCGATACCAAGATGATCTCCAGGTTCACTAGGCGCAGAGTCCTTCTGCGCCGAGTAATAAACAGCGTGCCGGGTGTCCACGTCGTGATTCAGCGATAAGGATTGTGCGCGAAGATGGGCGTATTCACCCGTACCCGCATTGTCTGGAGCACTCGTATGCGCTGCCGTCTGGACAGGCGCAACATTGTGCTCTAGCCCCGTCGAGGGCAAGCCGTACGCGCCAGTATTCGAGAAAGTCGTTCTCAAGTGTTGATGGCCGCCGACGTGCGGCGTCAAGCCAGAAGCGGTCTCCCATGCGGCTGTAACCTTCGCCAGCTCGGTAGTGGTACTTCCTGCATGCGTGCTGCTCACTGTTGGAGCGTTTTGCAGCAAGTCCTTGCCAGGCGTCTGCTGGCTGGACGGATTCTTCGAGGACACCCCAGCAGCAATCGCAGCAATCGCATGGCTAGAGAGCCTGAGCCGCTTCGGTGTGTTGAAATCGCTCAAGTGAGCATGCCAGAAGGCGTCCGTAGGCTCGACATTTGTGGGCCTGCGGTGTATGTGCTCTCCTGGTAGGGCACTCGAGCCGGAAGAAGGCGGCGTGTGCCGCGTACGTGCCTCGTGTGCGGGAGACAATTGGCTTGGAGGAGCATGGAGCGCCCAATGATCGGAAGCGGCTTCTACATCAGCGCGTATAGACTTTCCAGGGGAGGGCAAAGCCTCATTGATCCAAGCCCTGCTTGTCTCAGCGGGGGCCGATGTCGTAGCTGGAGGCGAGAGTGTTGGAACGGCTCCCAACGAAATTCTTCTCCGCTTTCCACTGGGTGCCAGCGATCCCCCTTGATCCACGGAGTGCTTTTCAGCTGTGGGCTGGGGCAGCCTTAGTTGACGAGTGGCATTCTCGGGTCTGGCCGCTTCTGGTGGGATTGTTGTGCCTGTGCTCGTTTCTCCCCCCTCATAAATGCTATGTTTGGATCTTGATTTCCGCCTAGTCTGAAGAGGTCTTCCAGTCTGACCTCGCCAGAGTCCAAATTTGTCAACTATGGGGTACCGTCCGCCAAGATCGTGACGGGTTGAAGACACTTTCGCTTTAGGACCGGGATTTTCCGCATGAACGGTGCGGCCTATTTTCCCGTGCCGACCTCTGCTCAAGTGCACGAGAGTTCCCTCTTCGAGGTAAACCTTGTGCTCACGATGGTGTACGCCAGTACTTGTGATTCCTCCCCCGGGCACACTGTTCCCTTTGGCATCATAGGCTGCTGCGGTGATGTGAGGCCTCGGCTCTTTCGCGTCCGCATGGATGGTCTTCCGGACCTTTGAGGGGCGAAGCTGGACGGTCAATCGGCCGTCGTTGCGATCAACCTAGTCTCGTTGACTTACTCTGAATCTGTCGATCTGCGGGTGGTACTTATCCCTGTGCGCATTCAAAGCCTGGTCTATCGCTGCACCGTGAGCATGCGACACCGGGCGATCAAGCACGATTTGAACCCGCTTCTTGCTCTTTACGGGCGAGAGCTTACTAGAGCCCGCCCAATCAGCGGGCAAAATAACCCTCCCAGGCACATGTCTCACCGCTTGGACGGCGCTGTCTCGGAGCATCATTCTTGGGCGACCCGTACGCGTGCCTAGATGAGCATCAGCTGGAGGAACGAAGACCATTGCGCGATCAGGCGGTCGCTCCTTGTCACTAGTGGTTGGGAATCCATCTGGCCTAGTCGTTCCCACAACACCATCGAGTCGGTGATTGATTACAGCTGCTGTATTAGGCGCCATGAAGATGTGGTGTCCTTCGAATGTGTGTCCTGCACCACAATCACGAAGTTGTATTAATTGAGCGCAGCGTTAGCCCGATATGCTTGCAGGCGCTATTTGGTATTTGAACCTCACCTTCAGACGTCACCCCACCACCATGAAGTTTTGCGCCCCGGCTATCCCACGCGACCCCCTTTGCATGCACTATTGGCTCCTCTGGAGTGCGCCGGAAGCCTATGCCAAGCTGGGAGATGGGATGCATAGTAAGAGTCTCGAAATATAGCAACACTGATGGTCAATGCGACACACGTTGAGTTGAGCCATTGTCGGCAGATAATACTTCTTGTAGTGGGCGACGGCAAGCTCGATAGCCTTTCTATTAATTCGGTTGCTGGCTCCATCTTTAAACGAAAGTCTCACATCCCTCATCGGTGAATTCGGCGCCTTTGAAGCTGCATCGAAGCTTTCGTTTGCCTTGACCAAGTGCTGCGGTGGAAATGTCTCGTTGAGCACGGTAGTTTTTCTGGCACGTTGAGCATAAAGTTGCCAGTACTCTCGGTTTCTCTGCCGCACCGGGTGATCGGGATGCATGACGGTCGATGTATAACGTGGGCCCTGTAAGTCCGCATGATTGGCAGCAGTGGAAGGTGCAGAGTCTCCTCCTACGGGTGCACACTTCGTAAACGAAGCGCTGCTGCACAGCACAATGGCTACAAGGACAAATACAAAGTTTGGAGCAGGAAACGACATCGAGTGTTCCTTTATTTGGCAAAAGCAGAAAAGATGATGATGTCTTCAATGGTGCAGTCGTCAAATTGTACGGCATAGCGGGGCCAGGTAGAGGAGATGGCCACGAGTGGCTTCGACTTATTGCTTCGAGCCTAGATGACGATTCCCTTGCGGTAGGTACCACGGCGATTTTGAGCAATCGAAACAAATCAGTGCCACCGAAAATTTGGCAGTGCAAACATCAGGAGATATCAAACTCCCTTCCGCGTCGTGCCTTCAGCAGTGCGGATGTGCGGCGCAGCTTATCTTCTCACATCGAAATTTGGGCCTCCAAAAAGAAGGCCTCAGCGTTCGGTGGCGGTCTGCGCGATTTCAGCCATGTCAAACCTTCGACGCCTCTAGAGCAACCACGCGCTCTGATGCGCTGTCACAACGCTTTTGACCCATCAGCGAGTGGCGGCCGAAACGCATCGAGGGACGGGGTAGCCACATAGAGTGCCGCGAGTGGCGAAGATAAGCCAGCGAGTCATTGATTGCGCCTAGACGTGGTGATACAACACGAGGATGGCGATTAAAAGCGGAATGATGTGAGCGGCCGAGTACCAGGCGCCATCCGCCACCGAGATGTCAGGAAGTGGCAGGGGCTGCAGTACATTAGGCACAGTCTCGGTTTGAAGCGGCGATACGCGAGATAACCCCAAGGCCGCTTAGCGCTTCTTCTCTGCTGCCTTGTGCTCCATCCTGCATTGCCTGCCGCAGAAGACATGTCCGGTTTTGCTGACTGGAGCATTGACTACCCGAGTGCCGCACCTGGAGCATGCCGAGGCGGTCTTCAGTCGACTTTTGTCTTCCGCCGATGCGAGCGCCGCGTCAAGGTCCGAATTGGTATGGACAGAAGCCGTCCTCGAAGAGGAAGCCGTCATGCTCTTCTCTTGTGGATGTTGCTCATCAATAGGTCGAGGAGACAGTGGCATCAAGCTTTCGCTCTCCGACACGGTCGCTCCGTTTGGGTTCGGATTTGATACGCCCGCATGATCTTGACCGTACGTGCCTGCGCTCGTCGGATCGACGCCGAAGAAGCTTCTCCGATTAGCGCTGCCAGGCGAAGAGAGCGTGTTACTATTTTGCGCCGCATAGCCCTCCACAGGCCTCAAGGGAGCCAGCGATGCTCGCTTGGAGCCATTTTCCTGTGTAGTGCCGTTTTCGTCGGCCGCGGATCGGCTTGGACTGGACGTTGAGCTTGGAAATCCGACAGCCGTTGTTGAAGACGGCCCCTTCAAGTCGGAAGGCACAGCAGGGCGTGTCTTGCCGTTGCTGCCTCCGAATCGTCGCAGCGAGTTGATGGCGGAGGCTGACGAGCCAGCACGATCAGCGCTCGGTTGGTCCGTAGGTCGCGTGATCGCTGGGCTCATCGTCGCCGTAGCGGCACCCTCGCGGTTCCCTGGCGGTGCTACGGTCGTAATTGACTGCGGAAAAGTCGGACTGATAGGAGACCTGAGGGTGCCATTTCGACCTTGCCTATTAGAAGAGCTCACGAAGCTGCTGAGACTCGAAATGCTTGCGTTTGACGCGGTACGTTGACGTGCGCTTAGGCCAAAAGTGCCGCTGGTCGAGTTGGGAAAACGATGATGCGCAAGGCCTACTCCAGAAGCTCGGCTGCTTGAGGAAGAGGAGGTCATCGTCTTTTCGAGGCGACTCGTGAGTGAACGTGCGGCAGGCCCATCTCCGGAGTGCATAGAAGCTTGCGCTTGCTCGCTGCGGGGCGCAGCCGTGCGAGTATTGGAAAGACTACGTAGGCTGTCTACCGCACCTGGCGCTTGCGCATCAGACTTTCGACCGACCACGTCTAGGCGCGCGCTAGCGCTATCGGTCGATGGCAGTGAAAAGTGGGCGTAGGCTTGCGGCGATTCTCGCTCCCTTTCCCAAGCCATGCTCTCGGCGATGCTGGGCGCTGTGCTCAAGACACTCAGAGCTGTGCTCGCGCTTGTTGCTGAGCTATCGACTCTTCTCCGTCGTTGAGCGTTGCGCAGGCTTGCAGTAGGATCAAAGACTCCATTCGGCTCGTACCCATAGTCCGATGCTGTACTGCCCGTAGCATTCGTGCCGCTGGCATCCATGACGCTAGGCTCTCCGTACAAGCTTGTCACGCGTCGACGAGCGGCAACACCTCGAGAGGGCGGTAAGCGAATCGTGGCATCTTCGCTCTCGGCAGCCCACAGCGAAGTCGGCCGCGCCTGGCTCCCGGTCGGGATTCTCGTCGAGCTGAGAGCAGCAGCAGATGAAGCATCGTCCTCGTCGGAGTCGTGATTCGGAAACAAGAGAGATGGCGAGTCAGAGCAGACACTGCTCGGTCTCCGCGCGTGAATGGCCGACTGTCGAGGAGGCACCAGTGATCTTGCACTTTGGGCTGCTGCGACTGCTGCCGCGCGATCACGGCTGGAGCCTGGCTGAAGGCTAATGGTGCGGCCTAATTGACGTCGTGCAGGCCCATCTGAAAGGTCTGGCTTGCCGACTTGCACGGGTGTGTGCGTCGTCTGCGCGGGCGCTGAAGATCCTGCCACAGGAAACAGCAGCGAAGGCGGTCTGGAGTCAGAGCTGCCGCTGTGGCTAGTCATTCGATCGAGAGAGCCTCTTCTGCTCCGCTGAACGTTCTGTGACTTCTTGACGCTCGTTGACCTGAGGGGCGCCGCATCCGCTGGGTTTGTGGTCGTGACCACTCGCACACTTCTCTCCACCAAGCTCTCCTCACACGCCCGAGCAAGCGAAGCCGCAGGGCCGGCGATCGCCCCCCTTTTGCCTTTGTCCAATTCAGCACAAACTGTCTGAGCTGCCGCTAGCATCGCAGACAAATCCATTCTGCCAGCTGCGTCTGCGCAATCGCGGACCTCGTCCCACTCTCGGCGTACTGCTTGAGTCCAGCCGGATTGTCCCGGCGCCAATGTCGCTCGGGTGATTGCGACCGCTCGCACTAGCGCGAGATCAACTGCGATACTTCGCAGCACTGCCGCTGATTTGCCCTCTTCATCCTCGTCGTCTGGTCCCGGAAGGTCAGCAGGTGTCTCGGAGGAAGGCGTCTGCGGCGGACCAGAGAGCCAACCTAGCAGGCCAGAGAGGGAGCTCCACAGCTCTGGTGCCGGCAAAGTCCTTGCGACCGGCAATTTGACTTCTTCCCCATGCTGGCGCATCGGATCAGCCTGGGTCGTTCTGACAAGACGAGCCAGTAGTGATGCAATCTGCTGCCTCAACCGCTCCTCTTCCTTCGGTGAGCTTTTGCCTCGTCGATGTCGGGCAGAGCTCCGTTGCTGCAAAAGCGCAGCGGCATCCAAGCACCAGGACAGCGCACGTAGAGGATCTCGCTCGAGCAATACCACTACAGGTGCGCTTCCACGCGTGATACCGGTGGTCAACAAAGATGCAAGGGTGATGCAAGACGACAGGGAAGAGAGCTTAGCTGCTCGAGCAAGAAGTATGATAGCTAGAGGATGCGAATGAGATAGGAGCGCCGACTGCCGAGCATGCCTTTGATCAGTTGAACAGCTCTATGGTAAGCGCTGACGCCGTCTACGCTCACCTTGGCTTCCCACTTGAGCCTTCCGACGTCTTTGGTGCCCTCAATGCGGCGTCTGAGAAGATCATCCTGTTTCATCCTTTGCAAAGCAGTCTCTCGCCTGCTTTTCTTGCCGATTGGCATGTGCAACTTTGCAGCAGATGTTTGGGTCGAATCCCATCTCTCAATGCCTCTGCTTGCCGTCTCCGGACCAGCGCCCAGAAAGATCCCGCCCAAGGATGCCTTGTGGGAGGCGCGGGAATCGGCGTCATTGCTATCTGGGCCAGAGGCAGGCACAGCATTCTCGTCGACACTGCCAAGCTTTGCCAGTCCTAGTCCGTGCTCGGTGCTTAAGTCTCGATACCTTCCAGCCAGATAGTGGTAGTGCACCTGCACGCTAGCCGGCGCAGTGGTTGCTGGAGCCCAGGTGTTTGGGTGCAATCCAGTATGATGGGTACGAGAAGATTGTGAGGCCGGCGTAGACGTCGAGATGCTACGAGCTTTGATGCTCGACTCGCCAGCAAATGACTTGCCTCCAGAGGGATCGAGAGCAGGGGAGCGTGGCAGGTACATGGCTGCTGGAACGACTGGTGAAGAGCTCAGGAAGGCGAGTTGAGTGACCAGTGGAGAGCTGCAGCGGTGCCTGCACCACCTCTGACAACTGTTGTGTGTGCAACGCGAGGGCGTAGCGGTGATGGGAGTGATGTGAGGGCCGGGCTGGACCTTATATGATGCGCCGCTTACCAACGCGCGGCGAGATGGAAGTTCCGGTGGGCGCAAAGAAATTTACATGTGCGCGAGTGTAGGCCTCATTCTCGACTTGTGAAGCTTAGACGCAGCTCTCGCCGAGTAGGAGATTCATCGCAGATTCTTGCCGAGTGTCTGGGAGCGCCTCTCTGTCTCACAAACGAGAGATGTGTATGCGCTGCTTGTTGCAGGCACGCAAGCCACGACGAAGGTGATGTATGCAAAGCTGTTGTGTGTGTGTGTGTGTGCCTCTCCGGACGCGCTCGAGGTCCTGATATGAGCCCCAAAGGAGCTGCAAGGCGCGTGCATGCCGCATGCTTAAAGAGCGAGCCCAGACCGACCCACTTTCGAGGTCAAACCTCATCCAGTCACCACTCGCGAGGCCAATTAATCGATCGATCGATTGTGAATGACTGTCGACGCCTAGCTGTATGACGAGTCACTACACTCACACTGTGTGTGTGTGTCGTCTTTCATTCATTTCGTCCTTGTGTCCGCTAACACCATTCCGCGCGAAGATGGTGTAGATGCAGACATCCCCGTGGGCGTTTGGACGCCACGTCCGGACCAGCGCCAATGGCACAGCGCCAAGAGTCACGAGGTTTGAGTAGAAGTCACTAGTTGCACAAATCCATTACACTGCCGCTCAGACAACAGCCCGAGTCTACCCTTACGATCGGCTACGCGGCGCGAAGCGCGCACTCTGACTGTTGCGCAGAGTAATCGTGGTCACCACTTGAGTGCTCGATCGCCACTCACGACTCCTTAAAACGCCCACAATGTGAATGAATCGGTAATGTTGGCTCCAAAGTCATCGAAGGAGCACCAACAAGGATGCAAGAGATACGAGCATCATATCTGCGGGTATCGCGTGCGCAATCAAACGCCAGTGGTGAGTATGAGTCAAGGCGGGCTGTGCATGAATCCTGAGGCAAGCGCTTGTTGAGCCATCCAGCAAAGAACGCGTGATGGCTCTGCTGAGACTCGGCACGAGCACTAAGGCCGCTGCTGGGCCGCACGTGACAAGGCTCGAACAGGTCACCAACTTCGCATGTGCTATCAGGCTTATCCACATACCGGTACAGCATACACGCACGACCTTACGATCGCTCCGGCTTCGGTCTCAAGGACCATCGCAGGCATGACAGCTTGACAAGACTGCTGAAAGGCCAACGTCAGACTCGTCCCCACTTGTCATGGCATCTCGCAATCACTTGGTAGAGCAGGCTCACTTTCACGAAGGCAGCGCTGAATTGAGTAGACTGCTTGAGCCTTGCAAGCGGCCTGCCTGAAAGCTGTAAGCGCTAGTGCGCCAACGCAAACATGAAGCCATCGACTGAGGTGAGTCGTCAGGATGCTTCTCTGGCCCAAGGTGTGTGCTCACAGTGCTTCGCTCGGGGCGATTATCATACTCTGATACATGAATTCGCCGCCAAACATCAGGGCTGAAGCACTTCTTCCCGGAGGAATAGGGAAGCGTCTTAGACCTCGCATGCACCGACAAGGCAGTGCACACTCCATGAGAGAAACTTCTTGAAGATCGTCGCAAGACCATAAGTCGAGTTTGCATACGGAGCAGAACGATACCCTTGCTTTACCCCCTTTGTGTGTCTACGTCGCACGTCGCCCGAGAACAATCCTAAGCCTTCTACTACTCACCTCCACATTCCCATTCGACCAAGGAATTCGAAACGGGATGTGACGGTCAGGTCGTGGGAAGATTTCGAACAATCGTCAATGTCACGAGTGTGTCTGCGCATGGTAAGCGGCGCGAGGGATAGCAGAGATGCTCTGGTGTCCCTTCGCGTAAGTGGTTGCTGCATGCGGCCAGTCAAAGAGCCACCTTTCCGGGGCTTCCACGCTAGGCAAAGCGCGCGAGCGTCGGCTAGCGCGACGCGCTTTCCCACGCAGGGTCAAACTGATCGAGTCTGCCTTTGCGCCTTGAGCAGATAGATGGGCCCTCTACAAAGGCATCAATCAGGGCCGTTCGACTCCGCGAAGATTTCACTGCAACTCTCACCCCAACAATCCCCTCCCGTCGAATGGAGGCATGATGGCAGACTTTGTTTGCGAACGTATAAGTCCATAATTATATAATTAGAATACAAAAAGATGCAAAATGGTGACGTAACTCAGATAGACTCCGGCGCACCGGCAAGGGTATGCTCAATCGGACCATTCACAATGTTCCAGTCTTCGAAGCCGGAGGTCTACACGAGAACCACTCGCGGATGAGCTTCTCGGGTCCTGGGCAAAGCAGCGATGAAGACGCCATCGTTCAAGTCGTCCTTGTGCTCTTCAAAGTACTCCGTTTCAGATTCTGAGGGGGTCCGAGCACCGACACTGCTCTCAGCCGTCGAAGTGCTCGTAATGCTGTCAGAGCGTGCGTGCGACTGTCTAGATGCAGGCGCGGAAGACTCGACTGGAAGCGATACCGTCTTGACGGTTGGGGTGGACACCATGGCGGCTGATTTGTACCACTCGTCCTCGTCGCCTTCGTCTTCGATGGGAGCGGACTGCTCGACCACATCGGACCAGATATCGGCTTGCGCTTGAAGACGGAAGATGTAATCCCGAACGACTGACGTCACGGCAAATGATGCCGCTGCCGCTGCAATGGCTCCTCCGATGAGAGTGGCGTTGCTGGTAGACGCTGCTTGGCTCATTATGGCGGCAATATGCTCGGATAAAGGGCTAGCGTGACGCTGATGTGTGGCTATTGTCGGCTGAGCCGGCTAGACTTGGAGTCCGAAGAGACGAAGACACGGAAACGTTGCGCAGGACACCGTGAGTGTCGTTGATAGCGGCTGTGCGCTCGATTGCGTGTATTTGAATCCAAGTCGGAGCTTGCAGGGTGCAACCAGCTGTTGAGAAGGTGCGAGACTGTACGATGGGAGGTTGAGTAGTCGGTGGCAAGCAGTAGCAAGCGGTGGCAAGCGATGGGATCGGGTGCTCAAAGGTGGCAAAGCGGTCAACGTGCGAGTAGTTGGAAAGACAACCTGACTCGAGAAGGTGTGTTGCCGCTGGTATCCTGGTCTAGTCTAGCTGGACAGGCGTTTGAAAGTCGATGGGAGACGCAAGCAGAAGATACAGGGGTCAAAGAGGGCTTTAAGTATTTCCTAGGGGCAAGAATCGCTCGCTTAAGGGCACGGTGTCCACGCGTTGGTCGGATGCGTAGACAAATGTGGCCAGATCTGGAAGCGCGCGCGCGGAGGTCCCGGGAGCTGCAAGGCACGGTCACCACGTATATACTGCACTGTATTCCTACCTTAAGTGTGTGCAAAGCGCCGGCCATCGATCATGCAGCCTAATTGATTGCCATGACCCGCCGAGTGCAAATTGCCGAATCGGCTCATTCGCAATGGAGGCACGCGCCTGCAGCACTGATGCCGTGCCGTTCACTTCAGCTTGTGCGTCCGGTATCGCACTGTTGGGCCGTTGAGAGCAAGGTCGAGATCGCTCATCATTCTGGTCGATCGATCGAGCGCGGCTTTGCATGGACAAATCAATGCACTATGCACCGACCTGGTGCCATGCGATGCGAGATGCGACTGAATCAGGGCGGTGGTTGAAGTTCCGAACAACTCCGTCGCTCTCATTGTGCTTCTTCTTCTTCACTGACTGCTCAGATGCCACGTTGCCTTCACCTGCGACGTTCAAGAAGTCGGGTCATGCTCGTGCTGAGGCGTGATGCATGAATGCTGCTCGAGCGACCACCTCTGCTTACAGTAGCATCAACTGCTGCTTGCACTGCTGGCTGTACAGTCAGTATGTAAACGCCAGGGTGCATGAAGCCGGCAGTTCAGCCCACGTACGCGCATTGCCGCAGCGCCAACTCCACCCGATCGAGCGTTCCTGTGCAGCTACTCGCTCACCCCTATAATCACAATGCACATGAACGGATAGATGCATGCATGAATGGAAGCATGGCCACGAAAGTCTTGGGTCTGATGGACACGAACAAATCGCACGATCACTCACACTCCCGACTGCGCGGTGACTCGTCGCACACGCCGTCTGTTGGATGCCGGATGGGCTCGCGCCCCGGTTGCACGGACCTGCTCGGCTCGGAGTGGAGCCCGAAGACGAGGCCTCGAATCCATCATCCCGCGTCTTGCGTCAGCTAGTCCCGATTTAAGGCTCACGACGATTGAAAGCCGCAGACGGGCCTAAGTTTGCCGCAACCTTACCCTGAGCTCAAAGGCCAAGACCCTCCCTGATCACGTTTGAAATGAATCTCACGACCTTGGTCGCGATCAAACCCATCTCCGCGTTCCGGCTGTACGGCTATATGAAAGCGTGGCTGCTGCAAAACATCATCAGCGGCCTCTGCTATCAGCGGATAGTCCCTAAAGGAGCTACAACAGCGCGGGCCCGCTCTCTGCTCTCCTCTTCAATCAAATGCGCGTGGGCTCTGCCTGTATCCCGCAGACCGATGGCAGCTGCGACAGATCGGGTCGTGATGCTCCAATTTTGTGAAAAGTACCTTTGAGGCAAGCGCGCGCAACTCATGCCGTGGCAGGAAGCTCGAAGACGAGCAGACATCTCAGGGCTGAGCGCACAGTGCCGTCAGTGGCTGGCTTAGGAACGCAACGGGACCTTACAGGATGATCTACTGCGCGTACCTGAACAGATTTTCTACAATAAGATACCGTACTCGTGGGTTCGAGGACCCGTATATACGCTTGCAAAGCATGAGCAAGATTCACCTGACCTGCAAGGCACGTGCTCTGCACCTTTCCATGCTGGTGACTGCAGTGACTGCATCGAAGCGCTTTTGATCCCGCATTAATGTGATTGCTTGTCCTGCGTGCACACCTGCACCCGTGAAGCTGCTCATCAGGTCGGCCTCTGAAAGCGGAGCTCAAACGCTGCGCAAGGCAATGAATGCATGGCTTTGCCGCGAGAGCAGATGCGCGACCGATGCACCCACGCACCCAAACACACAGGTGATCTTGCACGACTAGAAAGAAGAAATTGCTCTTTGCCGGGTTGCTTATGACCATCTATCTATAGCGCATCGATCGGCAACGAGGCAAGTCATCAGCTACTTCGATCACTTGACGACACGATCAAGGATGTGACATTTTGACTGCCAAACTTGTCAACGATGACTTTCACGCTCTGCGTTGCTTTCACGCAGCTTGCGCACGCAGCAAACGCAAACGCCGATCTTTTCCATCTCCCACCTCTTTGGCAGGCTCGCCCCGCGTCAGCTAGCATCGATTTTGATTTCCTCGCGTCGAAAGTGCGGTGCAGTAGTGCGTCAGCAACGACGATCATAGTGGATAGCCTACTTGGTCAGCAGAGAAGAGGTGAGCTCCGTGTGTGTGGCAAGCGTGTCGAATAGGGCGATCAGAAAGGAGGGCTTGCATTCGCGCATGCTCCCAGCCGCGAGAGGACAGATTCGCTAGGTCAGTCTCTGCGCTCGGTAAAACATGTCAAACTGAAATAAAGTCGAAAAAGGAACAAGTACGTAAAGTCTTTCAGTTGGAAGAAGACAGGTTGGCCGGGTCAGCTTCTTTGTGCTTGGCGAGCATGCTAGACTGTGCACATTTGGCGATGTGAAAAGACGTATCTATTTCAGTTCGATTGCTCGGAGTGATGCACGACGCAACAACGACGGACTTACGGTCAGAATCTTGTTCTTGTGCTCAACGAGGTTTCTGAACGACGTGCGGATTGTCACGTCGCTCACGCCTGCCGCGTTCGAGATCGCCTTTGCACTGATCTCCTTGCCCATGACTGTCGTGGCAAAGAAGATGCAAGCAGCAGCAATGGTGATGGGGCTTCTACCAGCGAGAAGACCTTCGCTCCTGACTTGCTCAGCCACATCCCTGACGCATCTACTGGTAGGCTGGTCCAGCGCCAGATGATTGGAAAAGCGATTGATGAGGTCCACGGCATTCGTTGGTCCGACCCCTCCGCTGGATCCTTCGGCTGCTGCTGCTGCCATCGGTTGCCTCAATCCGAACACTTTCTGAATCTCGTTGTAACACTGCCCGATGAGTTTCTTCGACACCTTCGTCAAGCCACAAATTTCCACAAAGGTTCTCGGAACATTGGCCATCTTGCACGCGATAAAGATGGTAGCAGCGATGATCGCGTCCGTCTTTTTGCCCCTCAAGATGCGCTCCATCTCCACCCTCTTGTACAGCTGCTTGGCTATCTCGCTCACTTGCCTGTTGAGGTGAATGGAATCGCACTTGCGCTGAATGTCCTCAAAGGCATCCAGTATGTTTTGATGCTGAGTACCATTGACTCTGTTCATGGCCCTTTGAAGCGTGGCGCCAGCGCTGCCGTCGAAGGCGATACGAGTGCCCAGCGTCTCGGTCAGACCGTCCATGAGCGGATTGTCGGCTTGACCTACACGCGAAGGATCGTCTCCCTCCTCATTCGCGAACGTTCTCCCTAGCGACGGAAGCACGTGCAGGTGCAGCAGTGAGCTCAGCGAAGAGCCGGCAAGTGCGTATACCCGTTGCCAAAGCGGGTCATGCAAGGCTACTCACACTCGCTCCTCGTATCGACGATTCTGTCACCGAGAATCAGACCACATTCTCCGCAAACCAAATCCCCACTCGCAAACTCCTCCATAATATTCGGCGGGTCAGCATGACAGTTGCTGCAAATCAGCTTGACTGAGAGATCGTGCGCAAAGGGTGTAGGCTGAGGAGAAGGATCGGAGGTGCCATTTGCTGCTGCTGCAGATTGCCTCTCCTGCTTGTACTGCTCCGACAGTGCAAAAGGCTGAGCATACGGCGATGGACCGGCCGAGGATCTTTGCTTGCCGTTCGATTGAGACGACCCGTTGCCTGATTGGGTACCGATAGTAGCGCTTGCCATCTTTGCCACCCCAGAAGTGTTGCCTGGTCAACGAGCCGAGATGCTCAAGACAAGATCACTTCTTGAAGTCACGCTTGGGGGTCTCCAGCAGCTGAGGCGCCCGACACGCCCGGCAGGGCTGTCCAGCGATGCAAGAGCAGAGGCTATGGTGTCTTGGCGACGGTTGGACCGATTTCTACTCCGATCCGCTCCATCAATCGACGCCCTATACGCAATGTCCTGTTGACAGTTGGGCTAGGCAGTCACTAACAGCCTAAATAACCAGCGAACTCGACTCGCAGAGAGTTGCGTGGTCAGGCACGTAGGTGTGTGTGGTGACCATCCGCAGGATGATGGTGGACAATTGGCAGATTTGAATCGCCTCCCAGTCTTAGCATTCACGCATTTAGATTCAAAAAAGGCCCGGAAGGGGGCTGGGGTGCGACGATCGAGCTGATCAGCAGATGAGGCTGCTGGGTATCACGTGATGTGCTTATTTCGGTTCTCGCGCGGCGCCCGCTGACAGGCGCGCATAATTATAAGGTAGAAACGCGGCATCAGGCACCGCGGCCGTGCGGGGTTTGAGGGGTGGAGCACCCGTAGCTGCGTAGCCACGCCGTTGGTAATCAATTTGATCCCTTCATCCATCACCTCACCATGATCGGCTTATAAGTCCGCTGGCTTGTCAACTTTGATATTAGACTGATCCTTAAATCTACTAGCGCTTACTGGAACGCTGCAATCGCTGCTCCTACGATGCGATCGTCAGGAGCCCTCGCGGCGGCACTTCTGGCATGCACTTTGCTGTGCTCCACCTCGCCACTCTTGCCCGTTCAAGGTCGAGCTATCAGCGCGCTCTCGGATCTGCAGCCACAAGGGTCGTGCTCGCAGCGCTCCAGCGGACTGCAAGGCTTCGACGAAGAAAGCGTGTACAGATCAGCGCCTGCTCAGGCCCTCAGTCATGATGATGGCAGGGGAGGACTAGACGTAGGCTGGGTCGATCCAAGGGTCGGAGGAGGTAGCTGTCTCGATGTGAGTTGCGCAAGCGCCTCTTCATATGCGCGAGCAACCTCATCGATCCATACATCCTTGCACACCCACAGCTGGTCGGCAATGGCTTGCGAGAACCCATCAATGCCATCATTTCAGGCAAATCGGATGCGGCGGTGTTGAGCGATGCAGGTTTGCGAGACTATGTCCGGTGCGTCGTAAAAGCATTCAATTAACGCAGTATTCGTCCAGAGCGCTCATTGTTCCTCTTACACTACCACCACAGCACGATTGGATTCTCTTTCGAATGCTTGAATCTGCATCTTGGTGGTTTGCAGCGGGCAGATCTCGGCGATGGGCAAGGTTGGCAGACGGAGCTGTTCGAGTTTAGGCAGACACAGCTTCCTGGTGCGCCCGGCAGATGGGTAGGGGCTTGTTGGGAGAGCTTGTACGGAGGCAACCACTTCAGAGCTTGGAAGCAGAACGGAACGCTGGCTGATTCGGGCGCTTGGTTTTTGGCTGTCTCCAAGGAGAAGGTGAGCCAGAAAAAAGTTGCCGAGGCACCTTTCACCCTCGCAGGCCTGTGTGCTCAACGCCTGTTTTTTTTGTTCCCTCAATTCGTAGAATCTCAAGTTTCATCATACCATTGACAAGGATGGATACAATGCGGGCAGGGACATGCTGGTCGAAGCTGCACTCAAGGGGGGCAAATGGAAGATTTGGAAGTGGAGAGGGCAGGTAGAGTGGGTAGAAGGTCTCTTGGACGCAGGGCGACACGGTGAGTGCCTCGTCGCATAGAACACCGCCTCGAGTCCGGCGCTAACCGATAGTATGCCTTTTGCCGTGTCGCTACAGGTATCAACCATAATGTGTCGCAGGATGGAAGGGTAGCTGTGATTACGGTGGATAGAGTCATCGACATTGGCTTTGGCATCCATCCGAGCTTGTCAGTCCAACTGCAGAGCTCGAGTCCGCTGTACGGTCTGCTCGAGTCTGTCTACTACGTGCTGGATCGCGCCATCTACCAAGTCTTAGGCTCGGTGTTGAACTGAGCGAGCAAAGCGTGTAATCCATTGCATCTCAAACAACGACAACTCGCCCCCATTGTAGAGTCTTACTTTTGCTCATTCGTGCCACACTTCGCTTCCTCCCCAATGTACAAGTACTCGTAGTCTCGGAGCGCCCATTGTGCAATGGATCTCACATCATGAATGCGCCCAAATCGGCTGCCTATTCTCGCCCACGGCTGCCCACGGTCTCTCACTCTCTCGCGTCACACGCCTTCGTCTCCTTTTCGTCTTGGACACTGAGATGAGTGGTGATTGGCACTAAGCAAAAATACAAAGGACTACAGGCGGGTGACATGATGTTGCGTGGGGCATTTTTTGGTATGTTGCATTTATGAGAGCTTGAAAGGTTGCCCGGATTGCTCTGCGGCGTCATGCGAGAGGTAGGCTGAACAAGCGAGGTAAAGCCAAGGCTCAACGAAGTGGTGCCACCCTCGTGCTCACGCTATCGAGTGACATCAGTCCGACGGCCTGCGCCTTGGCGCGACCGGTTCGCCATCAACGATTTCCGGCGATGTGCGCGAAGATTTGTCGTCCGTTGCCGTTTGACCCTCTTGCAAATCGATGGGCGACTGAGCTGACGCAGCTGCGGGTCCACTTGCAAGTATCGCAGCTCCAATGAAGAGCTCTGACCCTGAAACTCCAATAGGCACGACGCAGCCAGGTGCAATATCGCCCTTGATGAGCGTTTTGGAGAGCGGGCTCAATAGGTATCTCTGAATCGTCCTGTTGAGCGGTCGTGCACCATAAGCTGGATCGTAGCCTTTTTGCGCTAACCATTCCTTGGCCGCTTCGTCCACCTCGAGAGTGATGCGCTTGGAAGAAAGCCTCTTCTGAATCTCTTCCAGTCGAACATCTACGATGCCACGTAGACTACTGCGTGAGAGTCGATTGAAGATGAGCTGATCGTCCAGCCTATTGATTAGCTCTGGAGGTAGCGCATTGGCGATGGCCCTTAACACTCCAGAACGAGCAGTCTCAGTGATTTGTCCAGTCGCAGCATCGACAGAATTGGGTTCGTACAGCACTTCTGCACCAAGATTGGAAGTGAGCACAATGATGGTGTTTCTGAAATCCACTTTTCGTCCTTGAGAGTCGGTCAGACTTCCTTCCTCGAGCGCTTGAAGCAGCAGCATCTGCACGGGTCGCGAAGCCTTTTCGATCTCGTCGAAGAGGACAAGCGAGTAGGGGTGACGACGGACCGCTTCAGTCAATTGGCCCGCTTCCTCGTGGCCGACATATCCAGGAGGTGCGCCGATCAATCGAGCACCGCTATGTTGTTCTCCTAGCTCCGAGCAATTAATTTGGATGACCCGATCAGCATCGTCGAAGAGGTACGAGGCGAGCGCGCGACATGTTTCGGTCTGTAAAGTGGAGAGGGAGTCAGCGGTGCGATAGAAAGCAGGAAGACCATCTCTAGACTCACCTTTCCGGTACCCGTCGAACCAGCAAAAAGGAAGCTGGCAAGCGGTCTCCTTTCGTTTTGCAAGCCCGCTCTTGATAACCTGACAGCTTCTCCAATGGCATTGAGCGCCTCGTCTTGACCCAAGATGCGCTTTCTCAATTCATCTTCGAGTCGCAGCAGTCTTTCTCGTTCGCCCTTGAGCAGGCTTCTCAGAGGCACGCCCGTCATCCTGGCAACTACATTTGCGATGTCGTCCGCTTCTACGCGCTCGTGGACAGCCAAGTCGGCTTCTTCTTCTTCCGCCCCCGAAGTCACTCCACTGTGTGCATTGCGACGTTCCTCCTCTGCCGCCTCAAATTCGGCCAATTGTCTTTGCAGGTCCGGAAGTCTAGCGAAGCGCAACTTGGCGCTGCGTTCGTAATCCCCGGCCCGCATAGCTTGCTCGAGCTCGATCTTGGCCTCTTCGATGTCCGCCTTTGTCCGCTTAATCGCGTTCAGCCTCTCCCTTGCGACTTTCCACTTGTTTGTCAAACGTTCCGCCTCGGCTCTCACATCTTCCAGCTCCCTCGTCAACTTCTCCCTCCTCTCGCGACTGAACGCGTCCGTCTCTCTTTTCAAAGACTCGAGCTCGATTTCCAAACTGAGCACTTGACGATCGAGCTTCTCTATCGCCTCTGGTTTGCTTTCCTGCATCAAGCGCAACGCAGAGCTTGCCTCGTCTATGAGGTCGATGGCCGAGTCTGGTAGTTTGCGCTCTCCCAAGTATCGGTGGGCCAGCTGGGCGGCGCTTACTAGAGCAGCATCAGACAAGCTGACGCCGTGGTGTGCCTCGTACCGGCTACGCAGACCTCGAAGGATAGAGATGGCCTCTGGCACCGACGGCTCGTTGACGTGCACCGGTTGAAATCGACGAGCCAGTGCCGCATCCTTTTCGATGGACTGTCTGTACTCGTTGAAAGTAGTCGCACCAGCAAGCTGCACTGATCCGCGGGCAAGAGCAGGCTTGAGGATGTTGGCCGCGTCCAAAGCACCTTCTGCCTTGCCTAGACCGAGGAGCATGTGAAGCTCATCGACAAAGAGGATGATCTTTCCTTGCTCGTGCTCCACATCTGCAAGAACGCCTTTGAGCCTCTCTTCAAATGCGCCGCGATAGCTTGCGCCTGCAAGGAGCGCAGCTAGGTCCAAAGCGAGCACTCTTTTGCCCTGCAAAGATTCGGGCACATCCTTGTTCACCAACCTCTGAGCCAATCCTTCTGCTACGGCCGTCTTTCCAACACCAGCCGGCCCTAGCAGTACGGGATTACTCTTCGTCCTTCGACTCAGAATCTCAATGGTGCGTCTGATCTCGGCATCTCTACCAATGACGGGATCCAGGCTGCCTTGACGTGCCAGCTCGGTAAGGTCTTGACTGTACTGCTTTAGCGTTTCGCCAGGTTGAGGCGCTTGCTGACCTTGCATTCGCATGCCAGGGAAGCCTCCGCCACCGCCAGGCCCGCCAGGTCCTTGAGCGTTGCACCGCGCAGAAGTGTGAAGACGATAAGCGTGAGGCGGCGAGTGTGGGTCTGAAAGCTGTGCTGCGAGGGCGAGTCTGTTTAATTGTGGCACCGTGATGCCCCGCACTGGCTGAAGAAGAGATGCCGAGGGTAGCGCACTGCTATGCCGAGCAACAGCCCGTCGCAGCATGATGGCCAGGTGATAGCGGCAGGTGCTTCAGGTGTCGTGGGGAGCTCGAGCTATGGAGAGTGTGGGCTAGGTCCCGCACAGGATTGTCGGGTCGAGCAGCCGTGCAGCGCCAGTGGCAACTGTATGCCTCCACTCGAAATGCCTGACGAGATGGTAGCAATGAGGGCCAGAGGCGACGCAAGTGTTGATGCCTCTCGGATACTTCCAACGTGATCACGGAAGCCGCTTGAAGAGGCCTGTAAGGACGGGGCATGAAGCAGTGTCAAGACTGCGACGAGGTGCAAAGCGAAGCAACCTTTGGCCACGTTATATGTTGAGGATAGAGTGAATGCTTAGCCATGTTGAAGCCACTGCAAAGCGGCCTGTCTCGAGAGCTCCGCGGATTTCCGCCGGCGTCTAGAAGCCACCAGAAACGCGCCGCGCGTGCATCCGTGCTGCGTGGAGGCGGTGCGACAAGCCGTCACGTGAGAAGTGCTGCAGGGACAAATCAAGAATGAAAAGTTCATGGTTATTAACCACGATTGAGCTGAATATCTCCAAAGGTCTGACTCGTTCCAGTCCCCTGGCATGATCACATCAAACACGAGCCACGTTTCAGCATCCGACCTCTCAAGATCGCGTAATACAGCGCTGCAGCGGATGGATGAATGGTATTAAGAAATTCGACAGCATACAAGCGAGCTGCATGTAGCCGTGGGAAGAAGAAGGGGGGAGGGCGAAATTCGGGCTAGGCAGGAGAGATAAAAGTGAAGGGTGCGTCAACGGTGGACATTGAGTGATGCCGAGTAGAAAGGCTGTGGGTCACCCCGACCTCGTTCTTGATTGCGAGTCTTTTTTGAGGCTTGAGGCTTGTCTGTGAAGAGGAGCTGCGAGGGTTGCGGTATGCGACTTAAGAGACGCATGAGACGGCACGTGCGTTGGCGGGAAATGCCAAAATCTAGCGACGAGCAGCGACGACGACTTGCTTCTCCTTCTTGAGCTCTTTGATCAGAGATACGGAGACGTTCAGAGATTGAGCAGCAACCTCAGGTGGGGTCAAGCTGAGCCACTGGGTCAGGCTAAAGTCGGTGAACTTGATCTTGTCGCCAAAGTTTGATCCACGGAAAATCTCGATGAACTCCAGAGGCTCATCGCCGACGTTTTGAATGTAGTGGCCAAAGTTGGTCGGGAAGACCCAAGACTGCAATTTCCAGATGTCAGGTGTCAGTCGAGTCGTTCGATCAGGAGCGTCAGTACGGAAACGCTGATTGATGCTCACATCACCTGCTTGGAGCTCAAAAGTGCGTGCGGTGGCACCTCCAGCGAAGGCAGTGGCGCGTCCCTTGCCCTTGACAATGTAGCTAAGTGCGAGGATGATGGTCTTGCGTCAACATTGCCTTTCGAAAGTCCGATCAGGATCACGTCAAAAGCAGACTCACCCCCATTCAGCGCCGGCGTGCCAATGAAGCTCGCGAAGGCCGCCTTTCTCGACGTGAACGTATGCGGAGGCCAAAGTAGGACTAGCTGGGAATTGACGGTAGTCGGTAATCTTGACCCAACCGCCGCCGCCTGGTGCCTGCGTAGGTTCCTGCTTGGACAGGGCATAGACGTAAGGAGATTCGACCTCGCCAGCAGGGTTCTGCTCTACGACAGCCTTTGCCTCCTCAAGACTTGGCCATTCTGGAGTCTTGAAAATGTACTGATCTTGAGCGGGGACAGTGTCGAAAGCGCTTTGATTCCAGCCGAAATTCTCGGCAAGGACGTCTCGAGGGGTGTGAGCGACCCAGTCATCGAGCATGAACGTCGTTCCCGAAGCGTCAAAATTGCCGTCATCGAAGACTAGAAGGTATTGAGCACCTTCTGGGCCAGCCTGCAGACTGTGAGGGATGCCTGCGAGCAAGTCATGGTGGCAAGAGGGAGGGATCAGCACGGCTTTGGCGTATCTTCAATTGTCGCAGAAGTGTTACGAACCCGTGGGAAAACTCCACAAGTCTCCTGCCGAGGCCTCCCCAACGTAGTTTTTGCCATCCTCGTCGCTTCCGGTGATGCGTACTGTGCCTTTAATGACAAATGCCCACTCCGCCACTCGATGCCAGTGTAGCTACAGTCGGTCGGTTGAGAGAGGCAGTGAGAAGCAAGATCATGACGGCGATTTGACAAGGGAATGGTGTTGAGGTGCGCGTCCAGGAGAAGGCGAGTCACCAGTGTCGAAAAGGAAGAATTGGGCAAGTCAGACTCAAAAACTTGGTCATGCAGTCATCAGTCTGAGTGTCGAGTCAAATGCTGCATCATCCGCATCACCGCGACGGCGCGTCACCTGGTGCCGGTACCGGTACCTACATGGACGCTGCACGGTTGGATGCCGCAAGGTCATCCATAGCATCCAACCCACCGTAAATGCATCCATCCAGCTTCTTTTCATCGTACACCTTCTGTCCTCATTCGAATCCGCCTGTCACACATCACCCCGACCTATACAGCTCAACGCACCTGTCTGATCGCGTATGGAGCTAGCCTCTGCTCTGCTGCAGCCACGTCTGTTGTGGAGGTGCCGCACCAACCGAGTCTTTTTGTCAGCATATGCGTACGCAGCCAATTCCAAGTCCCAAGCCTGCCACGACCGACATGCCTCACCTTTAGATACGGGAAGGTCAGTGACGACCTGCTCGCGAACCCAGCCGCCTTTCAAGAGGCGCGTCTTGGATAGAGAGAACGACCACTTGAGGTTGGGAATGACGCCGTTGTCTGTAGCCGGTGGGCTAAGGTAGTCGATGTTCTGCTTGTCGATGGCGGCTAAGATTGGAGCAGCGGGATTGTACGGTCAGCATCCACCGAACACAGTGAAGGTGCAGACACGCACAAACCAATGCACTCACTGTTGGACTCGCCCAAGAAAGGCACACCCTTTTCGCCACGGACAGGTTCCGGATCCTTGCCCTTGAAGTCGGTGATGCCGCCAAGATCGGTGACGGGACCGAGGGTCTGCCTGCGTCGAATGTCGCTCCACGTCTCGGGACGAATGTGACGAGCGACACGATTGTGCAAGACGCTCTTGGCAGCTTCGGAGCGGGGCAAAGGTACCTCGTGCTCTTGCAGAGAAGCCGAGACGTCCCGCTTGGCGTACGGTGCATTCTCCAAGCGGACCACACGGGCGTCGACTGCTGCCGCAGCGAGCAGGGCGAGGGAGATGAGAGAGGCGGAAAGCTTCATGGTAAGGATTGTTGTTGGGGGGGG